GCCCGAAACGTCAGCCTTCCTGATCCTCTGATGCTGCTTGGCCTGCTGTGTTCATCCAGCTCTACACCTTGTTATCTCAAATTCTCCAGCATCTGCAGTTCCTACTATCTCTTGAAACACTTACTATTACTATTTGGTGTTGATGGTATCAAGTTAGACCCATCCAGTGAATCAGTGACTATTCCATTAGATTCATGGATTGAAATTAGTAAAAGGTGGAAAAATACATTGAGAACCAGGTGGAGAGTCACGTTGCCTTGCGTGGTTCCATAATGTTCATATGATTTGACCAGGTAAATATTGTAAAAGTTATTTCAGGTGATGTGTGTATCAGTGCTAAGCCCAGCATCTATTTCCCATCTCTAATTACCCTGGAGAAGATGATGATAAGCTGCCTTCTTGACCCACCCCAATCCTTTAGGTGTATTACCCCCACCATCGAATGTTGGTGAGGCTTTATTTTGCGCGATGTTTATTGGCTGCTATTTATACGGCAGAAGTGTTACCTGTTTTCTTATCCGTGCTGTCCCATTCCTGGTGATGGTTGGCTATTCATTAGAGTTTTAAATGGCTTTTCTCCATCTCATTAGGATAATATGTGGCCTCCTCTTGATAAATCCTCAAATGCACTATTATCCCACCAATAAATATCTGGAATTAAGAATCTAATGATGACTGTGAATCCATTGTCGATTGTTGGAAAAACCCATCTGGTTCACTAATGCCCTTTAGGGAAGTAAACTGCCATCCTTACCTGGTCTGGCCCACATGTGACTCCAGACCCACAGCAATGTGGTTGACTCTTAATTGCCCTCTGGGCAATTAGGGATGGGCAATAACTGCTGCCTAACCAGCGATGCCCTCATCCTGTGTATGAATAAAGAAGAAAAAAAAAATATAGAATTTTTAGAGGAATCAAACACGTTTTACAGATGTGTTTTTATAAAACGTGTAGAAAATAATTTGGTGTTTTATGTGCTGAAAACATTCAGTAAAGGTGCCTCATAATTGCAATTAGACCTGAAATAACAATGGTGAATCCTTCCCCATGGTGGATATAATTAAGTTGACAAGTAGATAAGCAGACCCAAGGTTCATAGCTGTGTTTTTATTATCATCTGGATTTGTTGCTTTGTGGTTTATGTGATCTGAGGTACAATTTTATTTTTGTAAATTAGGGCTGTCCACAGTATTGGCCAGAAGAGGGGACGCTTCGATACGGGCCAATTCAAGTTGAATGTATTTCTTGTTCAATGGACTGTGATTTAGTAAGTCGGATCTTCAGGATATGCAATCTTACCAGGGTAAGTGTAAATGACAACATATTTTTATTATAGGAACTGTGGATAAGGAAGTACCTTTATAATCAGTTTTATTATACACAAAATTTCCATTTGTTCAAACTACTGATGTTCTCATCTTCCCTTCCTACATTTCAAGACTTCCAAACAAAAATGGGCCCCCTGTTTACCTGATACCATAATGATTTGAAAATGTTCACTTGTGCCATGAAAAGCCTAGTACGTGCCCAGGAAGCTTATTTGAAGAAAAGAGGGTGCAATGCAGGAGTATAATTTTTTTTTTTTTTTTGTTCATTCATAGGATGTGGGCTTCACTAGCTGGGTCACTATACATTATCCGTGCCTAGTTGCCCTTTAGAAGATGGTATTGAACGACCCTCCTGTACCACTGTAGTCCATTTGCAGTAGGAACACCCATAATCCTGTTAAGGAGAGAGTTCCAGGATTTTGACCCAGCAACACTAAAAGAATGAGGGTATATTCCCAAGTCAGGATGTTAGGTGACTTTTAAGGGAACGTTTAAGTGGTGGTATTGCCAGTTGTCTGCTCCGTTGTCCTCTAAGATGGTAGTGATCATGGGTTTGTAATGCAATTTTTAAGGAGCATTGGTGAATTTCTGCAGTATATTTTGTAGATTGTGCATGTGGCTGTTACTGTACATCGGTGGTAAAGAGAGTCGTGTTTGTGGATGTGTTGCTAATCAAGCAGGCTGCTTTGTCCTGGATGGCATCAAGCTTCTTAACTGTTGTTGAAAGTTATCTCATCCAGGCGAGTGAGAAGTATTCCATCACACTCTTGACTTGTGCTTCGTAGTTTGTGGTCAGGCTTTGGAGAGTTGGGGGATGAGTTACTCATTACAGGATTTCTAGCTTTTGACTGGCTCTTTTAGCTTCAGTATTTATATGGATAGTTCATTTCATTTTCTGGTCAATGGTAACCCCTAGGATGTTGATGGTGGAGGATTTAGGGATGGTAATGTCAAGGCACAGTCATTAGATTTTCTCATGTTGGAGTTTTCATTGCTTGGCATTTGTGTGGCATGAACGCTATTTATTGCTTGTTTGCCCAAATCTGAACATTGTCCACATCATGTTACGTTTGTATATAGACTGCTTCAGTATCTGAGGAGTTATGAATAGTCCTGAACGTTGTGCAATCATCAGCAAATATCCCAATTCCTAAAATGAAATGAATCCTTAATTTAAGTTTACATTTTGTTCCATCTTTTTATTAATTTGGGTTGTAACTGTTACTGATAAAGTGACAACTGACAACTAATAATGCAATTTGGCCTCATTCAATTGAACATTCACTTTTTAAATATATTTGTCTAAAAATCATCTGACAGTTTCCAAACCAGATTAATTGATGATGACGAATGCACTGCTGAATGATTTGGTGAGGTTCTGTTGTCTTGTTTTCACATGGACGTAACATTTTTTGTTACAAAGCTATTTTACCTTGGCTCCTAGAGTAGCACTAGGTTGAAAAGACACTATAATCATTAAACAAATTATGCACTTAGAATAAGTTAGAATCACCCTCCTGTCTATGTCACTTTATGAATTTAAACTATAAATTATTTATAGCACAATTAATGTCGCACTGCAGGTAATTCTTCTGAAATATTGTCACATGGGATTTTCAATCTACATTTTCTATCTACATATACATTACAATAGCTTGAATAATTCACATGGAACAGATGTGAACATGTTAGCTTACAGACCAGTCATGGTTTTTAATAAAAATTGTAACCAAAATTGTAGGTTAATACACTTAACGCAATTTGATATTTTAAGTGAGCTTGATTATTTAAGAATATGACAGTTATAATTTATGGAATGATGCAGCATACAAAATATCAATCAATGCACTGGTAATGTGCAGTTTTACTCCTCCAATATCCACTTGGTATTATTGCACATGCATAGTGGGCAGCACAGTGGTTAGCTGCGCTGCTTCACTGCGCCAGGGAATCAGATTCAATTCCAGCCTTGGGCAACAGTCTTTGTGGAGTTTGCACAGTAATGTGCAGGTCAGGTGGATTATCAATGGTAAATGTGAGGTTACGGGGATCGGGGAATGCTGGGTCTGGGTGACATGCTCTATAGAGAGTTGGTGCAGATTCTAAGGGCCAAATGGTCTCTTTCTGCACTGTAGGGCTTCTATGTCCTGGGTAACACTGTCCCTGAATATGAAATTGCTCCATGTGGATGGAGGGTATTTTAATGCGTCAGTCACCCATTGTCAATGTTCTTTATTTTCTGATAATTTCGGAGTAACTTTGGTAGAGTTGGTTATATAGCCTGTTCTTTTAGTTAGTCAATACTAAGTTTGGGGATATGTCAAATGTTCAAATTGTTTTTATTCTGTTGTAAAGAGATATAGAAACATAAGATGATTAACTGAGTGTGTTTTCTAACACTTTTTCATTTCTGTATGAGTTAGTTAGACAACCAGAAATTTATGTATTTGACACTATTTTAAAGAAATGTAGGTAGAGAAGATGGGAGACTGACACATAAGGTTGGTTCAGTTTATCTCTCAACACTACTGTGGAACAAATTACTTTTCCAGTTGTACCCAGGTTTTCTGCCATGAACGTACCCGATTGCATGGACTATGTAATGAGGGGAACGTAAAATTTTGGCAGAGACATAAACTTCAGTGCCACAAAATATTTGACACATCTGACCATTTTTACAGTAATTAGTATATGTTTTGGTTGCTTCTCATTGCCTTCCTTTCCACCTCTTTTCCCCACATTCTTACCTGGTAGAGTTTGAACCTTGTAACACCATTCAGTAGAATTATTTAATGTCTAGGACTCAGCCTGCTGTGCTGCATTCAAGCCCTTTTCTGGTCTGTCCACAACCCAGCGCTTTAATTACTTGTGCTTTTTAAAAATTTGACTTGAATATGTGGTGGTCACAACAAGTCAGTATTTATGGCTCATCCCTAATTGTGATCAAAACATACCTTGAGCTAATTGGTAAAGATGTACTGTTTTGATGTACCCTCACTTTGCGTGAAATTCAATCGATACATTGAATTAATTAAGATATCTGTTCCTCAGTATGTGCAATATAGCCGGTCAATCTCAAAAATTGAGAGAGATTGGGGGCAGTTATTTTATCCTATCAAATTTGCTTAACACAAAAAAATGAATTTCTTGGTACTTAGCTTGATGGATTCAATTTTATAATTTGTTTCCCAGTGAATGGAATCCAGTTGATTCATTTTATCATTTGTGATTCACTAATTTGAATCTAGAGAATCAATTTCAATATGTCGCTAAATCTAATTAAACAGATTCGTTTTGTCTTATTGAAGTGCGCAGCAAATTGGTACAATCCTATATAGTTGAACCAGGGAAATCATAGGAGTGTAACACGTGCTTGAAACAAGTTCTGTTTGGAATTTAGTCCTGGATTTAGATTGCATTCTCATCAATTTTTGTAAATGAATTATTCAAATTGAAGGCCACAGCATCTTTATAATCTATGGTAATCTAACATAAACCCTTTGAGAAAAAAATTGCGCACATACAACAAAGCAGGCAAATGCTGCTGAAAAGTGGGAGCCTTGAAGGCATTTTGAAGTCCTGTAATTTACTTTAATACATTTGTTGCTGATTAATTTTGCAGAGCTGAATTAGAAATGTTTAATTTACCAAAATAGAGCTATAATTTTTAATCAAATCTCAAATACAATTGTAATTAACAAACTTCAGTTATTCTATAAATTGTATGACTCCTCTGTAGCATGAGTCTGTTTTACATAGTGCTCCATTCAAGAAGATGAACAAAGAATGTTGTATTGAAATTTTTTTAAAGTGAGAAACATTCAACACCATTTTGGTTAATAAAAAAAGGTAAAACCACTGGTTTGATAAATTGGTATAGCAAGAGTAATGTTGAAGCTAAAACTGTTTTAGATCAGAATAGCAAGTCAAGGCAGCACGCTGAGAAGCTGAAGAGTTGGAGCTGAAATATTGCTTTTACTCTATTGAAACAGAGAATGAATAAGTTATTTTTGTATGAAAAGTGACAGTGTAAAAGGTAACAGTCTCAATGGAATAGAGAGACAAGAAAAAGAAAATAAACCATTGATACGTGTGAGTTATTGGGATGCATGATTCTTGACAGATACAATCACTCTTTATTGATTATGTAAGTCCTAAACCAGAAGTCAGCTTCCATAGAATTTTTCACATGTAAAATCTAGATGCTGGAATTCTGAAGTAAAACACACAAAATACAGTGAAACCTCACTTTTATTTATATGTTGACAAGATATTTACCTTAGCATCACATACCATTAAGTGAAGACATTTTTCCAGATTACGAACACTTGAATTTCCGCTTGAGGATGATGAATATTGATTGCAAGCCAGTTTTTAAAAAGAATGTGAGGAAGAAAATAATAAAATGCAGTAATGTTGGATCAGAGAGGTTCCTTTTCAGGTTGTTTTAAGTGAACTGAATGCCGAGCTAATGACATCACAAAGAAGTGAAGATCATTTTAAAATGTATATAAAAATGTCATCCAGACACTAGTTTGATTTTTCCTCTAGGCAATAATGGCGTCCTTTAAAGCAGTTGCTGATTATTTGATTGCAGTTTAAAACCACATTGTACAGTTGAATTGCATGTATTGTGTGATGCACTGTTTAGTCATTCAGATGAGAGAAAGCTTTGGTTTGATTAATTGAGAAATATCAGCAGCAAAAGAGGGTTTGCATGAAAACTGTTCTAATGGAACAATTGCAATGGAGCTACAGTTTCTGCAAATTTTTACTCCACTTTAAACGGCAGACTTTAGGTGGAGAATAAATTTTTATTTGTGAGTCAAATGTGACCGTCTGATATCTCCTGAGTTGCATGTGCCTCTGCAATGATTGTGCAGTGGTCACGTTTCCCGACAACGTCACGGACACATTCAAACAGATATGTAATAGATATAGTGATGATGCTGAGATCAAGCAGATTTTACCCTTC